TGTTTACCCAGGTCCCAAGTGATAGGAGGAGAGAGCTGGCTCCCCCACATGTCCTTTGATCCCCACATCTCTGCCGTGGCACACTCACGTCCACATACACATAGCCTTGTCAGAGTATAGCTCATGTTCTGCTCCTCCGTGTTCAGCTTGCACCAGACCAGGGGCTCCAGCCTGCTGATCAGCCAACAGACATGAGACGGAGGTGTGAGGAAGAAGCCCAGGAAATTGTCCGGCAAGCCAACTCCTCCTCGGGACAGCCCTGCGTTGAAAACGAAAATCTGACGGACTTAATCTCCAGGCTCACTGCAATTTTATTACAAATTAAGGTAAATTTCAGAGGAAATAGCTTCATGGTTTTATTTTTATGCTAAGAAAACGGTATTTGTTCCTATTTATTTCTATATTTAAGATAAAATGTAACTAAATTTTGGAACATTTTTCCTCTGTAGTGTCTAGCAGAGGGAGGAGACCTCAATTCCTTTGAATTCAAATCACTCACAGATTCATTAAATGACATCAAGAATACGATAGATGCTTCTAATATCAGGTAATTTATAGCTATATGCTAATCATTTTATGTTAAATTTCTGCTGATTCTTAGTAGTTTGCATAAATTTGCTTATTAGTAAAGTATTTGTGTATTTGTTTATCCTTTAAATGTATTTAAAAGCGCTTTTCACATAGCATTCTGTTGACAGAACAGACGTTTCACATAAGCTCTATACATGAGGGCATCAGAACATATCATTTGGTTTCAGGTTTATTGTAGAGCAGGGACTCCTCTCCTTCAGTATCCCTGGCACTCCCTGCTCCTAAGCATGCTTTCCCACCAGTGCTCAGACAGAGCTGTGCCTTCCCTGAAGGCATTTCCTCAGCTGTTTTGTAAGAAACTGCTGTTTACTAACTAAAATGAAGCCTCTCCACCCCCTATAAAAAGCTTGAGGTTTTTGAGATGGCTCAACAGGTGAAGGCACTTGTCCCACTCTCCGGGCACTTGAGTTCAGTCTGCAGAACTCCTATAACGGTGGATAGCCCACTATGTGTGTGCAGGTGGATAGCCCACTGTGTGTGTGCAGGTGGATAGCC